TTTGACTCAGTAGGCTTAAATTTTCAAAGCTGCCTAAGGAATTTGAATGTATTATTTCTCTTAATGAAAAGTGGGTGCCCAAATCCCTTAGGTGACTCTACAAATCTCAATAATTAAGGTCCCAGTAATAGTAATTAATAATAATTAAGGGCTCAATCTGGTTCCCAGTGAAGACTTCCATTGACTTCACTCACATTAATGGTTCATATTCCTGCTTTTGACTTGATCCTGTTCCCACTGAAATTGATTTGAATACTGTATTTGACTTCAGTGGGAGAAGGATTGGGCCTGTTTGTTTGTTCAGATTCCAAATTACATGATTGCTAGATCAATATTAGATCATGGATTAACATAAAGTGATCTAATGTTGCATGTTTTACTCTATTTTGTTAAGTGTTTCTTAATCACAGAATTAGGTTATAGACAGTATAAAGATATTTTAAATGAGTCTGATTGGGGAGAGATCTTGAAATTAAACATAAAGGAATAGTAAAGAAATTCAAGTTTCTTTGAATCTTTCTTAAAAAAAAACAGACCAAGAAGGATGAATTTTCTGCTTAAAAATAAACAATGTTTTCTTCTCTGTTTCTTTGTAAACCAAGATTTTCTTACTGCCAAAAGCCGTAAGAAACTTAAGGCTTTATCAGTGTCAACATTTCTCATGCCTCACTGTGTTACCATGTCCACTAACTGCAGATAATAATAGAATGCGGTTTAATGATATTCCTAAATCTTCTGCACAGTTTACTTTTCAAAGAGTTGCATACTGTAGTTGTGATACTGCCTTATACAGCCTAAAGTTAAATTGCATCTGTGTATAAAAGGGGCCTCTGAAGGGTTTTATGTATTGTGGAAGAGGGATGTTTTTTCTGGAGAAGTAGATTGTCTTTGTCCTGCTGCAGAGGCCAAAGTGCCCTTGAGTTTTGGTACTGCTGGGCTACATATATACTGCATTTTAAGGGTGTGGTTTCCAGCTCACAGGGCCGGCTCCAGCTTTTTTCCTGCCCCAAGTGGCAAAGCGGGGGAAAGAAAAAAAAGCACCGTGATCAGCAGTACATCGGCAGCAGCTCAATCGTGCTGCTCCATTCTTTGGCGGCAGTTTGGCGGCCGGTCCTTCGATCCCTCTCGGCAGCTCTTCGGCGGAAGCTCAAAGAGGAAGAGAGGGACTGAGGGACCCACCGCCGCATTGCCGCCGCTGACCTGGATGTGCCGCCCCTTTCCATTGGCCGCCCCAAGCACCTGCTTCCTTTGCTGGTGCCTGGAGCCGGCCCTGCAAACTCATATACACCTATTCATGCGAGCCCTAGAGATTTGCCATTACTAGAGGTAGAGAGATGATGCCATAAAAATATAGGCCTAAATCCTTTGCTCTTTTCTGTGGTGTGGAAGTCAGGGAAACTCTATTGATCACGTGGAGGGGCAGCAGTTGCACAGGCTTTCTCTACAGTAACCATTTTGGGAAATCTTCACCCTTGTACTTCCACTGGTGCAGCTCAAAGGGTGGTAGCAATGCAAGATTGCCAACTCACACATTCCAAAATCATGAATCAGACTTCAGGAATAATCAGATTTGTTTGTTTAAACAGTTCTCTCTATTTGCCTTTTGGTTTCTGAGGCCATGTCTACACTACAGTGGAAAGCTGATCTAAGCTATGCAATTTAAGTTATGTGAATATCGTAACTCAAGTCGACGTAGCTTAGATCTACATACTGCGGGGACCACAATATGCGATGTTGACGGGAAACAACTATGAAAATACTATGAAAATAATAATAGTAGTAGTAATAATAATTATAACTTCAAGAATATTTTCCCTCTCACTCTGTTTCTGCAGCTATGCAGAGATAGAAGTACTGTGTGTGTATATCTGCATCTATATTATCTCTATATCTATCTTTGGCTTTCAGCCTGTATATAGGTGTATAGAACTGTGGATCCTTAGATGTTACCAATAATGACACATGTATGTACTTTCTATGTACTCCAGCTTCACAACTCCTACTGCATCTTTATGTGATACATTAGTTTATTATATGGTCGCTCTGAACTTTACAAATACAACAATGTATGTACAGTCAGTGGATTGCTGAATTTTGCAATTTCACTGTGCATTTTACCTGAGTACTTCTTTAATCCTATTTTGTTCTTTAGCTTTTGGCTGCTATCAAAGACTTGATGAAATCTGTCTCTGCTTATCACATATCTGAGTTATGTATTTATTTTTCTGCTTTGCTTGCTTCACCACTGAATTTACTGTTGATATGAACCTGTCTTGGGAACAGACTCAAGAGCTGTCTGAATTTTCAGTACAGCAAGTTTCTGACTCAGCTCATTATATCACCATTTCTGTGTAGCACGATTTCTCCTAACGGATATGCAAGGACATTTTGTGCTAAAATGTTGCTGATTTATTTGCTCTAGTATATATTTCTCTTTCTTCTCTTTTCTTTTCTTTTCTTTTCTTTTCTTTTCTTTTCTTTTCTTTTCTTTTCAGCATTAATACTGTTGCCAACAAGATTTCCCCTCCAAATTAAATACATCAACTCAACAGCTTCTTTCCCATTAAAAATGAACAATGCTTCTTGTTATTTTCTGTTAGTGGATTTTGTGCTGACTCTTTTCATTCTGATATCTGCATAATCATTTACATTATTTAGGGCCAAATCCCACCCATGCCTCCATACAATGCGGCTCAGCATGGGCACATGGATCTGCTTGTGTAACCTACACACCTCCTGGGTGTGGTGTTCTGTTCCCTCTAGTGTCATGAGACCACTGAGAGAGAGAGAGTTAAATGCAGTCTGCTCTACAGCCTTAACTAACAGCCAGTTGGCTTTTAGCTCATGCTGTAGAGGCTCATGCACTAAGTTCCAGAAGTCCTGGGTTCGATCCCAACCGACAATGACCGGGGTCTATCAGCATTACACTTGCAGGATTGGGTCCTTACTTATTCAGTGTTTCTGAATAAAGTGGTGTTAATTTTGCTGTATATTCTTATTTGAAATTTCTTTCTGCTGTTTTATTGAAAACATTGTCAGTGAATCGCTTAGTAATATACAGCCAGATTGCGATCTTGTGTAGGCGCATGGGGAAAAGGGGAGGGAACAAAAATCTTCCCACAAGATTTGGACCATGACAAATGTAAGTGTGTATTTTCATCTACTTAATCATAGATTAATTTGTAAAATAGACATTTAGGGTCAGATTCTTGGCTCATACCCTACCCCTTTGCAAGGCAGTGCACAAACAGTGTAAGGGGGCCATAAAGTACTTTACAAGTGTTGTGGTGGAGACAGAGGTTGGTGGAACATGGTGTGCTCCTTTGCTCACTGGGGGAAACATGGTTCCTTGGGGGATGGTTACACGCTAGTGCAGTCTGGACTCTATCATAACTTGTGCCCAGTGTTCAACTGGCTCCTGGTAGGCCTAGGTTTGCAGGAGTACCATTTATCTTAGAGAGGAGTCGAATAAGAGGAACATGACAAACTTATACAATATAATGAATGATCTAGAGTAGGTAGGTCAGGAACTTGTATTTACTGTTTCTCAAAATTAAAGAACAAAAAGACATTCAATGAAACTGAAACATTGCAAATTTGAAACTGCTAAAAGTGTATTTTCATACAAATGTATAATTAACCTGTGCAACTAATTGCCACAACATATCAGTGAGGGTACAACTCAGCAGGATTAAAAAAACATTGGACATTTGTGTGTGTGTGTGTGTGTGTGTAGTTCTGGACATAACCCAACCAGTAACTAACCAGTAACTATTGGGATTGGGAGGAATTTTCTCTGGGGAAAGGATGTCTCTCAACTGTCTACTGCAGGGTTTACTTGCACCTTCTTCTAAAGCAGCTAGTACTAGAGAATGGAGCTAGGCAAAGAAAGGTAATTCCATTTTATGGAGGATTTTGAGATTTAGAATAGAAAACTACAAATTTCAAAATTCTCCAAAACAGATATCTGATTTTTTTTTGTTATGGAAGCATCAAAATGATATATATTTATGACTTTGCCAAACTTTAATGGTTTGGACTAGCATTTTCCATGCCAGGTATGTTCTTCAGGGTTTTGTTTGTTTTGGAAAAATATTAAAAGACAGTGTACCAGCTGTTTCCAAGAACAAGGCTGGGAAAAATACATTGTTTTGCCAATATTAAAAAATTCTGGTGGTATTTGCTTTGTAAACCTCTAGTGTCTCCATGCTTCGGACCAGGGACTTGAAATGTAATGGCGGGAGGGGGGGGGGGCGCTGTGTCAGAAACTTGATTTTTGCCACTCCCATGAAATTGTGCCCAGATTTGTCCACGTTATAAGCACTAGGGATGCCAACTTTGTAATATTTAAAAACTGGATGCTTCAGTAGGAGTGCTGGAACCTCCCCCACCCCGCCTCTTCCCTCCAAGGCCCCATCACCCGGGTTGGGAGGGACTCACCAGCGGAGCCGGGGCTGGGAGCTGCAGCCATCTGATGCAAATAAGAGGCAGCCCCAGCTGAGTAGGGGCTTGTGTGGGTAGTGACCCAGCTCCTCCCCCACCTGCAGTAACCAAACTTTGGATGTCCAGTCAGTAATACTGACTGGACACTGTCAGGTCCCCTTTTCGACTGGACTTTTCAGTCGAAAACCAGACACCTGGCCACCCTATAGCCCATCCATGCTCACTAGAGACATGCTAGAGCTTTCCAGCTAAGTTTCCTGAAGATTCCATCCACACTGGGCATGTTCTGGTCTGGGGCTGAGCAGGACTTCCTTGCAATGTCAATTCTTAGCTGCCACAAGGTCCAGGTCCTGCAAATGAAAGCAGGGAACCTGGCTCTCTTCTGCTCTGTGCCACTGCTGCTCAGCCCAAAGAGTGTGAAGCTGCTTGATTTAATGGTTTTTTTCTTGAGTAAAGAATGTAAGACTGGGCCCTTCACTTATAATTCCATGTATTATTATTTCGCATTATAATTATTAATTAATAACATAATTCCCTTTCCTGTATTTATTTTTCAGATATGATTCTTGACCAACAAGTGGGCTCAGGGCAGCTCAGCGAAGATGTTCGTCACAGAGTACATGAAGCTTTACTGAAGCAGCACCACCATCAGAATCAGAAGAAGTTAAGCAACAGGATTCCAATTGTCAGATCCTTTGCTGATATTGGCAAGAAACAGTCTGAGCCTCATTCCATGGACAAAAATGGTAACGTGTTGCATTATTTTATGTTTCAGAAGCTTTTTATAGCATATATTTTCTCCCTTTGAGCCTAATGTCCGCTGCTGTATTCACAGCAGTCAAAGTGTGGTTCTGATTTGAAAAGGGACTATGTAAAAATGGCTGCTTTTATTTCACAGAGCTGCCCCTTGCACATATTTAGAGATATAGCTGTTTTATTTAGTTACAGAACTATGTGTTTACTACTCTTTACTCCTATTAACTATGGAGAATCAATGTCACTCTGATAGAATGAGCTGGATGATGATGCATGAAGTAAAAGGAATTCAACTTGTCTTTTAGAGTCTAGACTGAGTTTGCAGTGCTGGCAGTTGGAAAAAGTCCCCATTTTTTCACTTATAAATGGAAAGCCATTGAGACAAAATAAACATGGAACCCAGCATTGTTATTTTTATAGAGTCACTTTTCAGGAAATTGCATTACAAGGAAGAAAAGGGGGAAAGGCTGTGCAGTACTTTTATGGAAAAAGTTTGGTTAAGATAAACTTTAGAGAGAAGTAAGAATAGGCTACACGGTATTTCTAGCAGGATAACTCAATGACAGCTAGCATGGCTGTAGTGTCATCTACACCTTCCAGCTTGAAGTGTAAACGTACCCCAAGATACTCTACGGCTGGGATACTAACCAGTGTACGTTCATATATTTGAGTAAGAGACCAATGAAAGCAGAATGGTGGTAATTTATTATGCAGAAGATGTTCCAAGGACATTAGTGAGCCTAGAATTTTCACCCTGGCTTCTGACCTGCACAAACTCTATGTGTCTTCTGATCCACAATGCAGTAGAGGCTACTCTTTGTTCCCTTTAGTGGTAGCCCTGTAATGTTGATTTTACACACATACTTCCAAGCCTAGCTCCTTCCGTAGGGTGGGAATCTCAGACTTGGAAGGCTGAATGTAATTTAATCTGAAGAGGACATTAAATAGGAAGATCATTTCTGTGTGATGTCCAGATTCCATGTGAGGTTTACTTAGTTCCCAGTTCCAGAAAACATCTCTGTTCAGGACAGCTTTTAAACATATGATTACCATTAAGCCTGTGTTTAAATCTGATTGAAATCAGTGTGTTTAAATGTTACTTTTGAATAGAAATGCACACGCTTAAGTGCTTTGTAAATCAGGCCCTTAGCGTGTTCTGGGCATCCTACAATCTGGCAATTAGAACTTCCTGATCTTGTGTGAGAAGCACAGACCATTTTCATTATATTATTTATATTGTATTTAGTTCGTTTTAAAATAGTCAAAATATCCTTAGGAATATTTAAACGAAGGTAAATCAACTTTGGGTCCAAGTAATAGTGATACTGCCAAGCATGCTTTTTAACAGTCCAATGCAGTTAGAGATGTCTCTTATTTATCTTGAAATATTGTCCATTAACTTGTTACTCTCCTATGTTGGCCTTTTCAAAGTAGAAAAAAGGTCCCGTGTTAAAGTTGAGCTTTATTGAAATGTTTATTTCTTATTCTAAATTTCATTAAATCAACACCGCGTTATGTTCAGATTACTGGATATTAGCTTTGTCTCTTGGACTAATGTGATTGGTTAGCTTTAGCACATCTCAGAAAGAAAAGGACAATTCTAAATTTCATTAAATTAACACTGTGTTATGTTCAGATTACTGGATATTTGCTTTGTCTCTTGCACTAATGTGATTGGTTAGCTTTAGCACATCTCAGAAAGAAAAGGACAAAATTATTCTAGATCTTCTGTTTACAAAATAGTCTCAAACCATTTATTTATTTGTTTGTTTGTTTATTATTTTCTCCTAAAAGCCGTGGAGCCCCAGTGCAGTACATCCAATACAACAGTCTGCATTCTGTAGTCAGGGCCGGTGCAAGGAAGTTTCGTGGCTTAGGCGAAACTTCCACCTTGCGCCCACCCCCCTACCCAGCTAACCCCGCCCCCCCGTGGCAGCTAACCCATCCCCCCACCCGGGGAGCCCCCCCCGCAGCAGCTACCCCACCTCCGCGGCAGCTAACCCTGCCCGGGGACGACACCCCCCCCACGGAAGCTAACCCCACTCAGGGAGCCCCCCCCACAGCAGCTAACGCCGCCAGGGGAGACCCCCGCTGCGGCAGCTAACCCTGCCTGGGGAGCCCGCCCCAGCTCACCTCGGCTCCACCTCCTCCGTTGAACACGCTGGCGCCGCTCTAATTCTCCTCCCCTCGCAGGCTTGTGGCGCTGATTGGAGGAGACTTAGAGCGGGGACTGTGTGCTCAGCGGAGGAGGCAGAGTGGAGGTGATCTGCGGCGGGGAGCGGTTCCCTTGTGCGCCCCTCCCCGTTACTGCAGGCGGCCCTCCCCGTGCCACCCCTCCCCCGCCCCAGCTCACCTCCACTCTACCTCCTCGCCTGAATGGACTTTTAAGCGCCTCCAACCACTAGGCGCCCTAGGCGGACGCCTAGTTTGCCTAAATGGTTGCACCGGCCCTGTCTGTAGTGGTAACTGCTGTGCTCCATTTAAAAGAAAGGGGGAGTGGAGAGGAGAGAGATTGTTTAGTGGATTGGCATGGTCTCAGGCCTATAGGCTCCTATACATTCCTCTTGTAGAATGCTCCCCACCATTCTTCACACTGTCATGTGTAGATCTTCCAGAAAGCACTGCTCATAATGTATACAGCGTCACATGCATGGCCTTTCACCCACCTTTGGCAGTTCCGCTGTCTTTAGGGCCTTGCCCCTGGACAGGAGATCCTTCTTTGTAAAGTGTGAGCATTCATTTCTTGCCTTTCTCCAGCTATTTGCCCACACACATCCCTTTCTTTGTAACTACAGCCCCTGCTTGGGAGACTTGCCTTTTCTCCTAGAGCCTTATGTTCTCCTACTCTCCTGCATATGTATGTCAGACAGGGGCTCGATTTAGCTGTTGCAGTCTGTGAATGGTGTATGCTTCTTCCTGCTGGCTGTAGCTGAAAATTTCTCTTTAAATATTGGTTTTAAAACATAGAGCAATTGTGCAAGTTGCTATTAGCATTAGAATGATGGCTCAGACATAACTTCTGAACTGTGAAAACTAAAGTTCAGTAAACTAAATTTGTAAAAAAACTAAGATAAGATTACCTCATAGCAGAGTCAGGCGTGTACAGTGAGCAGGGGCGGCTCCAGGCACCAGCCCTCCAAGCATCTGCTTGGAGCAGCACCTGGAGGGGGACGGCGTCACCCGGGGAGAGCGGAGCCGCGGCCGGGCTCGCCGCCCTCCCCCGGCGCTCCGGCCGGCCGGGGAGAGCGG